TTTTTTGTAGCAGCACAAATTTTGACCCCATTTGTCTCTAAAAACTAGTAAATGTGGTTTGGTCCACTTTGGCACCAACCCCCTCAGCTGTCTTCCACTGAAGCTCTCAGGATGACTGAGAAATGACACAAATGTAAGATCAGTCCAGATGTATGTGAGAATAAAATGGATATGTTTGTAAGTTAGATCCTGTTTTCTTCAGGTTTACATGTCTGCAGCCTGTTAGGACTGAACTGACTTGAAATTGAATTGGCCTCTGAATCATCACCTGCTCACGTGATCATGAGTTCAGTCACCTGAGCCAAAGTTGCCGTCAGGTGTAACCAGGCAACAGCAAACAAACAAACAGCTGGATCCGGACTGTGAAACTGTCACTGGTGCTACTTTTTTATTAAGTTTAAATCAGTTTCCTAGTTTTATTTATTTATTTTTCTACTTCTAGTTAGATAGTAAAACATGAGCTCCGAGGTGCTGGTGTCAAGACCGCACTATGACGGCCGGGCTGTGGCTCAGGGGCTCCCGGGAAAAGACGCTCCTGCGGGGCCGGAGCTCCCGCAGCCGTCCTCGGGCTCAGCCACTGCCGGGTACCGCTCGGCTAAATATACCCCCAGCGAATGGTTCTCCAACTACCGAGGCGTACTCGAACAGGCCGGTACCGACCACCACGAGGCCCGCAGCGTCCAGCGAGAGTCCAGAACCCTGAACCAGGACACGGAGGCGGCCACCGGGAAGAGCCAGGCCCGGGGGACGCGTCTGCTGGGGGAGAGGCTGCAGGAGATCCACTACTGGAAGTCCGAGCTGCAGCGGCACATGGAGCAGCTGCTGGCCGACACCGAGGCCCTGCTGGCGCTGAAGACGCGTCTGGAGAAGGCGCTGGACGCCACCGAGACTCCATTCGCCATCGCCACTGATAATCTGACCTGCAGGACCAGAAGACTGGGACCAGACCTGGTCCGAGACTCTGTGGAGGAGGAGCTGCTGAAGGTGAGGGATGTCGGATGCACTTCATGAAACTAACATCTGTATGGGAAGCTGTCTGAGGAAGGGAGACAGAAAAGTGGCATTTATGTTAAATATAGATGATACTGGTGATGCATTTGTGTGAAAACAGTGTGCATTCAGTAATAATTCAGAAATAATAGGACAAACATAGGAAAACAGATATTTTCTTATAATAAAAAAAAAGGGTTTTGGAATTGAAATCTGGCCTAAACTCATGATCCATTACTGTAGAAGTGTGCATAATAATACTTATTATTGGAGACATTATCTATAAAAATCAAAAAATAAAAGAGCTGCAATAACCAGCTGATTAACCCTCTGAACCCCAAACAGTTGGAGGATGGTTCTTTTTTTTGCTCAGGTCACATTTTTACTTTCTGTGGGTTAACATCTTCACAAACTTGACAAACTAGATGTTTTTCACACTACTCTGCCCACCTCTAGAAACATATTTCACCGTTTTGAATGTGTTTTCCAACATCTTTCCCTCAACATTTATATTGTCTTTTAACCCATCCTGAATTTATTTCATTGATCATGTACGTTCTATTTTCCTCTTAGTCGTTTTAATTTATTTCAGTACTTTTCACAAATACAGTCTGCCGTTTATTGGAGAAATCCCAGAATTTTTGTCACCTTGATTGGATCTGAGTCACTAATAGAGGAGCAGAGGAGCGCAGAATTTTCTCTCTCTCTCTTTTTTTTTTTGCAGGATGTGGCGCAAAGTGTTTACTTCTGGCAGATTTTTAAGAGAGACATTTAGAATAAAGTGATTTTGATGACATAGTTTTAACCTTGTATTGATTGAATTTTCCAATTGAACTGCACTTGACTGATGAGTAGTTCAAGGACCGTGGAAAAGTCAGTGACTTTTAAAAGACAACATGAGGTTAATAGCTAACAATAAATTTGTTAAGTTATCCAATCATTGATTACTATATTTTTGTCCATTTCTGAGCAAAAATGAAAACTATTTGATGGTTCCAGTTACCCAAGTGTGACTTTCTTTTTCTTGTCTTAAGTAATATTTAATATAATGTAATATTTTACTAGTAATTGTTTTGGCCATTGGACAAAACAAAATAAGTCATCTGATGGCATTTGCCTTTGGCGCTTGGAAATTCAAATGAGCATTTTTCACTTTTCTATGATACGATTAGTCAAGAAAGTCAGCAGGAGATACACTGATAAAGAAAATTATAGTTAGTTTCAGCATTGTAATACAACAGTCAGTTTTTCTCTTCTGGTAATGTTTTTGAAACACTAACAAAGGCCCAGCAGAGGGCTCTGAACTAACCATAAGTCTGACTGTGTGTTTTGCAGGAAGTGGACTTGATCAAAAGTATTCAGGCTCTTCTAAAGAGAACTGCAGCTCAGGTTGTCAGTCAGATCAAGTGAGTGTCAAAGTTAGAGTGCAGCTCACTTGTAAAAGGCCTCAATAAGTTCCAAAAGTATTGAATTGTCCTTAAATGAGTGTCCGTTTGCCAGGATGAACAGAGAAGCCAAGCTGACGCTGGAGCTGGACTGGTCTGATAAGTGCCAGGCCTACAACTTTGATGAGAACGGTGGAAGACACAGCAACATGAGTCCAGATACGCAGCACCACCCCAGCTCAGCCGCCATGCAGGAGCAGTGAGTGTGTGGAGACATGAAATACATGTAGCAATATGAGAAACCGTGCTTTTATAATCCACACAATCTGCCTCCTGCAGGGTGTGCAACCACTCATCATGGACAAAGTTCACTCAGGACAACCTGTCAAAGGCCGTGCAGGAGGAACAGGCCACCAACAGCCTCAGGTCAGAGCACATCTGTGTCCAAAACCGACTGTGGTGCATCATTTAATATTTGTTCTGAGCATCAGAATGCTGTTTGCCTGTTTTAGAGTGCTGGTGGAGCGACTGCTGCAGGACACCACTGAAGATCTGAGAGTGCAGTGCTCCACTGTCAACCGAGCTTTCAGCCAGCGCTGTGCGGAGCTTATTGAGGCGAAAACCCAACTGGAAATGAAGCTCGCACAGGTAGACACACTGACAAACTGAGTAGCTGGCTGGTTGGTAACTGATGACTGATTTTAGGATCCTATGTGCAGATCTTGGAGCAAATCGGAGCCCAGGAGAAGAACATTGTGACTCTGCAGCAGGCCATCCACAACAAAGAGGCTCCACTGAGAGTCGCTCAGTCCAGACTTTACCTTCGCTCGCTCCGACCCAACATGGAGCTCTGCAGGGATGAACCCCAGTTCAGGTATGCTCACCAGATAGACTGATTATCGACCAGCTTGATTACAGTGGCCAATAATTGCCATTTTTCAGATTATTAGGGTCCGAGCACCCAAAAGGGTGCGAAGACCCTATTGGAACTGCTCGGATTGTTATTATTATTTGTGCCAAAGACACGCGTTTTTGAGGCCCTAAACATACTCGAAAACTCACCAAAATTGCCATGTACATCAGACCCGGTGAAAAATTTTATAATTTGGAAG